AAATAACATTTAGAGTTATTGCGAAAGTTGTAAAGCATAAAATTCTCTACTTTAGTCCTACGTAGTATTTCTTATGATCAATCTTTCTCGAGAATAGAACGTAAAAAGAAAGATTTTGTTTTATGTACAAGTTTATAGCTTATATTGTTACCGTGTTTTACCTTATTTAACTATCATTGAGGTGCGTTTTGACGCTTAGTATGAAATAGATAAACATACATAGGCAGTGGTAGCCCAGTGGTAACGCGCTAGCTTGGAACACCGAGTGAAGAGGGTGCAATTCCCGGGTCTCGCACCTCTGATATTTTCATGTGCGAATCATTTCTAACATGATTAACGCTTGCCTTACGGTGAAGGAAAACATCGTGAGGAAACCTGCATGTCTGAGGGAGACATGTGAAGTCCGACAATCCGCAGTTGGCCAGCGTGGTGGACTATGGCCTGATCCCCCTCGTATTGAAGGAAGGCCCGTGCCCAGCAGTGGGACGTTAAAAAGGGCTGAATACAAACATACATAGGTATGAGTTATACATATATCCCTTACCTACTTGAGAAATAATTGATTCCCCATAAAAACTTCAACCCCTCTGTTTATTTCTTTAACGGATGATTTCCGGGATTAAAACTATCGTATGTCCTTTTCAGTAGCTCAAACTATCTCCATACCTAATTTCATCTAAATCAGTTCAGCTGATGGTAACAGATAAACAGACAGACAGGGTTATTTTCGCATTTATAATATAAGTATGGATATTAAATTAAAATGTTTTGTAGACCTAAAAACTATTAACTAGAACGTAATCGGTTTTAAAGATCACGACCAAACCTCAATAAATGCTTTACGAATCATCATTTTAAATCCTAAGAGCTTAACTCAAATTACACACAGATACACGAAGCAAGTCTAGTATAATCTATACATATAAAAAAATCGTAACTAAGTCGAATCTGTACATAAAATATTTTGTGGAAAATCTTACTGAAATATAAATTACTATCGATACAGAGGCCGAATCTATAGTTTTTAGAATTTTTGTCTGTCTGTCTGTCTGTCTGTCTGTTAACGCATCTCGAGAAAACCACAAGACCGATTTTGATGAAATTTGGTATTATGATAGCTGATTATCAGGGTCAACATATAGGATACTTTTTACCGCGGGAAAATATTTCATTTCTGAGAAAAAATACAAAAACTGCACTGTAAGAGTATACTAATACGTAAAACCTAAGAATTTGGTATTTAGTCATCTGAACGCGGGCGGAGCCACGGGCAATGCTAGTTGTTTATAAAAACAGCCCGTAACCACCGTTTAAATATTATTTGTATACAGCACAGGTTTTGACGCTTACGTTTAATCTCTCAATTGTTTTACCCCATTCGACGTAGGCTTACAAAGGTACGAGTATTATGAAACAATTTGTTTTACACTTATATTTTTAAATAGAATTTAATGTTTTTACCTTTTGTTTCATATAAATTTTACCATTTTATGGGCAGTAGGTCACTACAACGATACATTATAATGAAATACTAATGTCAAGTATTCAAGCTTGAGCCATGACTTTTCTAGATTTAAAAACAGTCTTACAACTTTATTAGTATTGAAATTGGCACTAATATTAAAATTTTTAGCCATCTTAAATATAGAATGTACTTATTTGTTTCGATTTTTATTGTAAATTCAACATAATCAATTATGGCCAATGAGTTTTAATTTTTTAAATAATTTTAAATAAATGGGTAGGCTGTCTGTAACAACTATATAATACCTTTGAGACATTTAAAACCTCAGTTTCTCCTGTGACCATGATTGCTGTAAAGCATTCGAAACGTCGCGAACCAAAAATCAAAATAAATTTGCGAAAAAATCCGAAAAGATAGTTTTATTTCAATTATTCCCGTAAATCTAAGAAGGTATTATGTGAATTTTAACTTATCTCTATAACTATATCTGACAGAATCTAAATAATTTTCGAAAGACATGTAAATTTCGTCAACCAGCAGTTGGCTAGTTACTAGCTACCATGGTGTTCTATGGCCTGAACGCCCTTGCAGAGAGTGATGAGAGTGATTGAGATCCCAGCAGTGGAGCACTAAAAAGGGTAACCTCTTGACACGTACAAATATCTCCATATAAATAAAAAATATAACTTTCCTCGCCTTACATCCCTATATCCTTTAAAACTATATTAAAATTCCATATCATCAGTACAATTAAGCAAGAGATCAAACCATTAACAGAATGAGTGACACCAATCCAAAATAATGAATTCAATAACCGCGTACAAAAATAACATCTACATAGTTATCCGTCCAATTAGCGGTTCCCATTGCAGTTAATTGGTAGAGATTCATTTGCTTATTCATCAAACCGTTTCGAAAGGATTGGTCAATTTGTTTATGTGAAGTGCTTAAATTGAATTTTTGTCATCCCATCGATTGTTGGTTTTCAGCTAACTTATATATTATATATATATATAACTTATATATATATATATATATATATATATATATATATATATATATATATATATATATAAGTTAACATGGGTATTTGAAAGTGAAATACAATTGACTCATTAATTTGACCAAGACTTTGGTGTATTTGGTACTAGGGACTCACTCTCGCTGTGCTCAGGTTACGTTTGAACGTTTAGTATAGATTTCTTTGAGATGAAATATTTATATTTATATTTTTCCCAAGCAAAGAGAATCCTTTAAGTTGACCCGGATAACCAGCTATCATCATGCTAAATTTCATTAAAATCTGTCCAGTGGTTTTCTCGTGATGCGTTCCCAGACAGGCAGACAAACATTCTAAAAACTATATATTCGGCCTCTGTATCGTTAATAATGACTATTTCAATAAGATTTTAAAAGAAAAAAAATATGTATAGATTTGACTCAGAATTTTATTATCTATAAGAGGTAAAGTTTGTGAGTTTGTAACGTAGATTTAGATGAAATTTGGTAAGAAGATAGTTTGAGACCCTGGGAAGGACATAGGATACTTTTTATCCCGAAAATCATCCCTTAAGGTTGTAAAACTGGGCATGAAAGTTTGTATTGGGAAGCAAGGTAGGGACGAATCCGAGCGAAGCGAGGGTTAGTCGTTACTATGTTGGTATAGATTAAAGAAAAAATATCGATGGTCAATAAGCTTAACATCGAAATATATTAAATTCCTTCTCAACTATTACACATACATAGCACATTTCTTTCGCTTAAAATATACCGAAAAAGCTTCATAATCTATACAAATAAAAGCATTAATACCTTTATAATTTTCTAACTCTAAATCCATAGTCATTAACACGCCTATAGAAAGCTAAACTTTATATTGTTATAACAGATAGCGTGCAAAATCCAGGAAACAGTACTCAATCAACACGGTGGCACCGAAATATCGCTTATATTCTCTCATAATCGTGTATTCGGGTGTTTGCTGACGTCACCCAACCAACTGTCAGCACTAAATGAGATTCACGCTACTGCACTACTGTCTTCAATAGCTACTGAATATTTTTGCGAACTGTGTACATTTTAATGACTTAAGCAGTGGATTTTTCGCTAGTGCAATATTTCTTTATATACTTTGCTCTACTACTTTGCTCTTTTTAATAATTCTTTATTGTTGTATATAAGTTATTTATATTTGCATTTAAATAATGGTTCGCTCAACTCTCATATATTTTCGTAAGCATAATTTAAACTATGTATTTTAAAATAATAAAAATATGATATAAAGCTCTCTTATCTCTTTGACGACACGTTTGGCTCAGTTTGTAGTAACCCCAGTTGGTGTGCCAGGGGTCGCTGGTTCAAGTCCCGCTGGGGGCATTAATTTGTGTGATGAGCACGAATGCTTGTACTCCAGTCATGGGTGTTTATATTTATACTTATATTATGTATGTATTTAAAGTTATATATGTGTAGTGTATCAACTGTCTGGTATCCACAAAATATTCTCTATGGATTAAGTACTACAAATCTCTTTTAGAAATAAGCCCACCCTTGCCTTTTATATACCTAATGGCTGTTTTTTTTTTATTTGTTTATTAAAAAAAACGTTTTTACAAACAATATAGCTCAAAAACAGTATAAGGATATATGTAGTTTCATCATAAATATGATTTACCTAAAAAATTGCTAAGTTATTAAATATTTATTCCAATAGCTATATTATTATAAACTTATTCACACTTTGTTTTGTTTTATTCTGTTAGACCCCAGCTGTCAGTACAAAATGAAATGCTCTTTCATTGATAATATGGTCTTCAAAATGCATCAAATGTTAAATAACATCTGTGTTGATGTAAGTTAGTTTTGAAGAAAACGATATAATATATATATATATATATATATATATATATATATATATATATATATATATATACGGTTGAGTCTGTTTCTGCATATAATAGAAGATGTTTCAAATTTATATGTAATAATTGTCTATAAGACAAATTATGTTCGATTGTGAAATAAATAAAATGTAAAATCAACAAGTTTATGCTGGTTTGAGCTTAATTTTAACTCTCCGCCATTCTTTACTAATCACTTCCTTAACTTATTAAATTTCTTTACATATAATAAAATTCTGAGTGGAATCTGTACATTAATTTATATTTTTTGAAAAATCTTATTGAAATAGTCTTTTTTATCGATACAGAGGACGAATGTATGGCCGGATTTATGTCTGTTTGTCTGTTTGTGACGGCATCACTAGAAAACTACTGGACAGATTTTGATAAAATTTGGTATGATGACAGCTGATTATTCGGGTCAACATATAAAATACTTTTTACTGCGAAAATATCTCATGTATGAGTAATCTATACTAAACGTTAAGAGTTTCGAGTCGCTAGTTTCCTATAAAACTATACGAAGAACTATACGCAGATTTTAATACGAATCAATTTATTTGATAGATAAATAGTTATTTTCTTATTACACCTTCCTTTTAATTAAGTTTATTAGTATATAGGATATTATTTACCTCAGTCCCCTGTACTTTTAGTTTCATATGGTCTTCTCTTGTGGTCTTTCCATCCTTCCGCTTCTTCCAACAGTAACCGTCGCGCCGGTAACGTACCTTTTTGCGGCTGTATAGAAGCATCGAACCGCTTTTCGGCCTGTAACAAACAAATGTAGTGTCCTTATATAATATTGATTTGATTATATAATAAAGGTTCCCTTAATTAAATGAATTTATGTTAACTCCATGAACTTTTATTTTATAAACTATTAGCGACTCACCCTCGCTTCGCTCGAGTTCGTCCCTACGTACATTTTAACCGTTAGTATGAAATACAAATGTTTGAATTTCTCGGCTTTTCTGTACTATAATATGTATGTTATACATACAAACTTTCCTCTTGAATCACTGTATCTATTGCTGAAAACTGCATTTAAATCCGTTAAGTAGTTTTAGATCTAAGCGAACAGACAGCGGAAGCGTCTTCAATTTTTACTATTTAAAGATTACTTTTATATGATAAAAATTTTATTTTATATCATTTTCACGGAAGTACGTCACAACATAAAAATGTAAGCAGTACGCTCACTCACTTTCGCATTCTGAAACCCAATTATACTAGGATAAATATTTTTGAACAAAAAAGATACAAAGACTTAAAACCAATTAAAAGTTTTTTTTTCTTATTTTGGGAGAAGTTTTTATTTATATAAAACCTTTACGATGTTATCTACTCATTATTTTTTTTTATGAAAATCTATCGGATAAGATATCGAATAACATATACACAAATAATATACATAGTTGAAATAAGACGACACGTTTGGCTCAGTTTGTAGTGATCATACTTGTTGTGCCAGCGGTCGCGGTTTCGAGTCCCGCTGGAGGCATTCATTTGTGTGATGAGCACGAATGTTTGTACTCCAGTCATGGATGTTTATATTTATAATACGTATGTATTTAAAGTTATAAGCCTCGTAGCTTACCATGGAACTAGATGGTGCCATGTGTTTATGTCCTAACATATACGTATATCCCAACATATACTGATAAAGCAACTATACTGCACTAAAATTTCAATATTTTTTATTATCGAAAAAGAGTTATTCCTCAAATTGTTAAAACACAGATGGATTGTTCGTATTACGTTGAAATGGATTTGGCACTAGATTTGGCAAGAAATTTAAGAAATATAGCGGGTTCGATTTCAACACTTAATTAAATGATCTGAAACAGCGCCAGTATTAAAATATCTGAAAACTGATTGGCTTTTGATAGGAAAAAATGTAACAAATATATTCTGATAGCTTTAGAGTGCATGTAAAAATTGACCGTTTTTTTACAATGGATGTAATCACACTATTCGACGCCTTAGTGCTTATTTGTTCAAACCACCAATACTTCTTCAACTTTACGGTAGAGACTTTTTTTCTCTATTTCAAAAACAAATCTTTATTTCTAATATCTATACATATAATAAAATTGTAACAAAGCCGAATCTGTACATTAGATATTTTTTGGAAAATCTTATTGAAATAAACATTATTATCGATACAGAGGCCAAATCTATAGTTTTTAGAATTTTTGTCTGTCTGTCTGCCTGTCTGTCTGTTTGTTACCGCATCACAGAAAAACCACTGAACAGATTTTGATGAAATTTGATATGACGACAGCTGGTTATCCAGGTCAATATATAGCTTACTTTTTACTGCGGGAAAATCTCCATCTCTGAGAAATCTATACTAACCATTAAAACGTATCTAGGGACGAACCCGAGCGGAGCAAGGGTGAGTCGTTAGTCATAAATATAGGGAATGAACAGAATATATTTTTAATGGATTAATAATAAGTTAGTGCAAGAGTCATCCATAACAATTTCAGTGATTTACCGATCAGCTGTTATTACGTAGCGATAAGATAAACAAATCACCGGGGGACGTATAAGTCATTTTCATAGTGGATTTTAATTATACGTAGTAATGTATGAAAGCATTTTTAAGTTATAAATGTTTATTCCATTTGTTTTGCTTTCCAATAGTAAAATTATAGATAGGATTCAAGTTACAGACTTGGTCCTAATTAGGTGGTTGTCAAGTATAGCATTCAGCCCTTTTTAAAGTCCCACTGCTGGGCAGGGGCTTCCCTTCAATACGAGGAGATCGGGCCATAGTCCACCACGCTGGCCAAGTGTGGGTTGGTGGACTTTCAGGTATCGCACCAGTCAAATATGGATATTTATATTATTTCGTTTATTAGTGGCTAGCATGTACAGATCATGAGGTCCAGAGAAGATACAGGACCCCTCATTTTTCGTCAACGAGTGAAGTACAATATAAATATAATATAACTCTTTCTCTGTACAACGCTTTAACATTTATATTTGACAACATGTTTGGCTCAGTTTGCAGTGACCATACCTGCAGTGCCAGCGGTCGCGGGTTCGAGTCCAGCTGGAGACATTCATTTGTGTGATGAGCACGAATGTTTGTACTCCAGTCATGAGTAGGATGTTTATATTTACAATATGTATGTATTTAAAATTATATGTGTAGTGTATCAACTATTTGGTATCCATAACTCAAGCCTCGTAGCTTACCATGGAACTAGATGGTGCTGTGTGTTAATGGCCCAACATACGTTGTCACTCAGCTCACTTATGCACTATTTTCCTTAATCACTATAATAAATAGGAAAGTTTGTAAACGCGTCTGTTTGTTTTTGGATAAAATTAAATATTCAGATAGAGTATGACCTTTTTTTTTTATGTCGGGAAATGCATTTACGCATACCACCTGATCCCCCAGGTGGTGATGTGGGGCTCACCGGCTAGAAGAGCTGGTACTACCCACTAAAACCCGACATTCCCCTCCCCTCCGCCTTAATGGGACGCCGCAGGATCGCTTGCGCATAACTACTACGACGCCCCGGTGGCAGGTCTGCCTAAGCGCTAGGCAGACCATCAAACCAATGGGGCTGCTCCACAGTCAACTCTGCTACGCCAGAGAGGTACCCGGAGCAGCCCCATTAAACCTAACCACCGCCCACCGAAGTGGGCCACCTCCAATCGGCTGCAGAGGACAGGGAGAGCGGCAACGAAACACCGACACTCCTCTTCCCCTGCAGCCCCACCGCGTCCGCCATCAAACGGTGGCGGCCCCGTCTAGGCCGCGGAAGGTAGGGAGAACGGCGCACCGAAATACCGGCACTCCTCTCCCGCCGCGGCCTACTCCTCCGCCGGATGCGGGCCTGCGACCACAGTCCCGCAACCGGCACCCATCATCCGGTTGTGGGACCAAGCGGTCCCACCACCGGTGGCCGCAACGTCTTCGGCTCGAGTCCTAGACGAGCGGCCCCACCCAAGCCATTTGGTCCGCGATAGAGTATGACCTACGGTAACACATATACACTGTTAGTAATAAAATATATGAATAGAAAAAGCACGTAGCTTTAAGATACGAATAAACAAACATACATACAAACTTTCGTATCATCAAATTAATATGAATATTTTATTCGACTGACAGAGCTTATTTTGACTTACAAAGTATCATATAAACATTCTTCACAAATATTATTGCTTTGAAAAATAGACTCGATATGCAAAAATCATGAACGAATTAGCCACTGGACCCGACATATAAGCGATCGTACCTTTACCGGTCTGGTCAGTAACCAGGAAATTTTAGCCTTGGTTAATTCGTTCCTGGCAAAAATGTACGAGCGCTGAATCATGCAGGAAATTGGTAGTTTATATGTAATACACATTAGACGATGTTTTAGCAGTTTTTTTTATAAAGCCCTACTTGTTTTAAAGCGTAACTATTGTCATCATTGTTTAAGTACAATTTATCATAATATAAGACTGATATGCTACGTTTCTAAGAAAACCGTAGCTTATATTTGCAAGCCATTGAAATATTTGTTTTCTAAATGGGATAAACGACTCATTGTCGCTTTAAAATAGGTGCTAAAATAAATTTTATGGAAATCTATACACATAGTAAAATTGTAACTAAGCCAAATCTGTACATTAAATATTTTTAGGAATATCTTATTGAAATAGACATTATTATCGATACAGAGGCCGAATTATGGTTTTTAGAATTTTTGTCTGTCTGTCTGTCTGTCTGTCTGTTACCGCATCACAGAAAAACCACTGAAGGGATTTTGATGAAATTTGGTATGGTAATAGCTGGTTATCCGGGTCAACATATAGAATATTTTTTACTGTGGGAAAATATCTAATTTCTGAGAAAAAATACCAAAACTGCAATGTAATTTTAGTATACTAATATTTACATATTAGTATAACCTACAAATTTGGTTTTTGGTCATCTGAATGCGGGCGGAGTCGCGATCAATTTTTTAATATAACAATATATTTGTAATTTTAATGTATTTTCTTTGATTTTAAATAAATGTTTTAACTTGTTAAGTTTTATAAATAAAATATGGAAATGACGTTTCTCGTCGGCGAATACTTCGACGATGTGACGCAATGCCAAGCTTTTCTAAGCTTACTGTAGACTTTTGACGATTTAATTATAAGACGACGACATTTCGACGATACGCTTGGCTCAGTTTGTAGTGACCCTACAGCTGTGCCAGCGGTCGTGGATTCGAGTCCCGCTGGGGGTATTAATTTGAGTGATGAGCACGAATGTTTGTACTTACTGGTGTTTATATTTATTATATTGCGTGTATTTTAAGTTGTATACATCTAGTGTATAAACTATATGGTATCCATAACACAGACCTCGTAGCTTACCATGGAACTAGATAGTCGTGTGTATTATTGCAATTTTCATCTTGTTACCGATAGATATTCAAAAAATGTGCATTGTTGAACACCAGAGACGTCGACTTATGTTAATTCTAACAGCATTTAATAAAGTTCGTGGGAGCGCAAATATTTTTAAAGAAAATAAATGGAAAACTCGGAAGGCAAATAAACAACTACGAGACCAAATGAACTATAAGAAGCTCTCGACAGCTTTTTTAGGTTACCCCCAAGGTGAGCTTGAAAAGCCTAGGAATTTTAACTACGGTCTACTGCTTTCAAGCGGTAATGAATTTAGCTTATTAATAGAGATTGTAAAGGCGTTTAGATTTATGAAATATGGCATTTAGCTGTAGTCTAG